CACTGCAAACATCTTGGGCTAAAATCGCTGCCAGATGAACTTACTTGCACTAGCCTGCCACAGATGTGGAGTGTTCCTCGACAGAGAAAGATTGCAAACAAGGCTATTCAAGATGTAATGGTTAAGAAGCCAGAAGCAGGGGCAGATTACACCAAGTTTGTTAAAAGTACCCTGTACAGTCCTACAACTGCTTACCCCCTAATGCATGCTGAAATGATGACATCTCTCAAGCCACAACCACTTATGGCAACTGTGTTACCATCAGCTAGTAAAATGCCATCAATATCTCCAGTTGCTACTTCCTTTGGTAATGCTGCTCGGGGCAGTGTACTTTCATACCAACAAAAACTATCAAAAGAGTATATCATTAAGGACTACTCTTGTACATTTTTTCCAGATCTGCCGCTTGAAACAGCTGGTGAAAGATTTACTAACAATGTTTCAGTTTGTTTAAGTGCTGAAAAGCAAGCTGCTCTAGATTCTCTGGGTTTAACTAGAGATACTGCAATCCAGCTGGAACAACAGACAATCTCACAGAGTAATAATGAGATGTGGTATCATCTCCGAGAAAAACGGATAACAGCGAGCAAGTTCGGAAAAGTTGCCAAAAGGAAAACAAATTTTGAATCACTGGTCACCCAGCTGAATCCAAGCCGGCGAGTGGTTACTGCAGACATGCAAAGAGGTATCGACATGGAGCCTGTTGCTGCGATGGTATATGCTAATACTGCAAAACAGGGAAAGGTCAATTTGTTTCCATCTGGGCTGATAATAAACCCAAGGTCACCATGGCTTGGTTGTTCACCTGATAGGAAAGTGTATGACAGCTCAGCTGAGGAGAATGGTTACCTCCCATTTGGAATTTTCGAAACCAAAGTTGTCAAGGAAGGCTCAACTGATTTTCATGGAGTACCTTATATTTACAAAAACCCTGTAACCAAGCAGCTGTCACTGAAGAGAAACCATGAATACTATTACCAAGTGCAGTGTCAGTTGGGCCTTTCTGGATTGGAATGGAATGAATTTTTCTATTATATCAACGAGACAACTTTCTTTTGTGAAAGAATTTATTATGATGCAGAATTTTTTCAGATTGCCAAAGATAATGTGGATGCCTTCGTTTTTTATTTTTACTTGAATATGAACCTTGAAATGTGCAAACTCCTAACAATTTCTGTTTCAAGTACATACTAGCTAGTATTATTATTATTACAACTACAACTAATTTGTACTCAGAATCAACTTAAAATAAATTAAATGAACAACAATAAGTTGCTTAGGTATGTACAAGCTTAAGTGCATTGTCCCCAAGACTTCATGATTCTGCAATAATCTATTACTGTGTCAAGGTTTTGTAACACTTACAACTCTGATTAAGATGTTTTCTTTTATTTCGTTTTCTCAATACAAAGAAACTGCATTAACACATACTATTGAAGACAGATATTCCTACTCTTAGAAGATTTTAATACCACTAATGTATTTAAGGGTGATGAGAAAATTTATGTCTTTTCGTGGATTGAATAAAATTCACCAATTACAGATATAACTGTTTAATAATGAACTGTTGGGTCTTCAAGAAACATGTTTGCAGTTGTACAATGATATAAAAAAACATCCTGGCAAATTTCTTGTAAGTGTACTCCCTTAAAAGTATTTGTCAATCTCTAACCAAGGATTATTTACAATGAACCAAGAACTGTTTCTTGTTGCATGACCTTTTATAGCCCAAGGCATAGCCTGGACTTGTCACAGTATTGAGCAATATTGTTTGTACACTATCTTATACCTTTGACAGAATTATGGTTGTAGGCTTTCCACAATGTTTACCATAAAGTAAAGTGGGCTAACTGTGTTTCTCTCATGTATTATCTATCCTTCTGCTGATGACATTATCAGTGGTCCCTGGAAGTTCACTAATAAGCAAACTACTGTGTAAATTTGATTAATTGTACCCATTAAGTTGAGAGAGATGTGTGAAAAAAAATGCGGGACTCTTTAATTCTCCGTATTGCCCTCTCAACGTGGATTCGCAGTTTGGCAATTTGCTTTGTCTCTTGGACTTGTTGAGCACTAAATTGGCCACTGTAATGAAGAAATGGAGG